ACAGTTAGAACAATTAACCAGTGAAACAACTTGCCTCCAGAAGTTGTGACTTCTCCAACACTGGAAGTTTTTAAGATGTTGGATAACCATGTGTCTGAAGTGGTATAGAGTTTCCTGCCTAGGCAGGGGGTTGGACTAGAAGACCTCCAAGGTCCCTTCCAACTCTGTTATTCTAATCTGTTCTGTTCTGTTCTGTTCTGTTCTGTTATTCTATTCTATTCTATTCTATTCTATTCTATTCTATTCTATTCTATCTTCTTCTTCAGATCAGATCAGTTCAGAACTTCTTCAAGGGAAAAACCAGTTGCCTTTTGAAAAGGCACCTTTGGGGCAACCATGACCTGGATGACTAGAGAATCTCCGTAGATATTCCCCACAACGCTTTGTGGAATCTCCCATCTAGATTTAGATCTAGTCCATATTCTGGACAGATGTTGCTGTACACCAAACTAGTTTCTTGGTTGTGCCATTCAGTGTATATGGTTCCTACCTGCATCTTACACCCTGTCACTATGGGTTGGACAGTGTCTGAGGCCTCTCTGCACAGCCTGCACCTTGGGTCCTGTCTAGTGAGGTAGACCCTGCTTCTATGGAGCTTAGTGCTTGTTCTTGTGCTGCTATGATCAGGATCTCAGTGCTGTGTTTTAGTCCAGCCCTTTTATATAGTGGAAAATAGAAAAAAGTATCTAATTTCCATTACAATGATTAAGAAAGGAAGAGCCAGAGTAAAGATTCCTAATCAAGAATGTCGGTACTGACAATGAAATGTTGGTAACACTGTTGCTGAGCATAAACTAAATTGCATCCTTTTGAGTCTTTGTATTTCTTAGAAATGAACTAAATCCCCACCTTTGCTTTTCTTTAGAAACATGATTAAAACTATGGCTAGGTCATTTAATCTATTCTGGAAGCAACCTTGTAGAATTGTCTAGGATGATTTATCTATGAATGAAAATAGAGTACATTCACCCCACAAAAATGCACAAGCCGTCTCAACAGAAATGAAAAAGTGGCATGTTGAAGATTTTCCTACTTCAGCACCATGGACAGTGGGGTGCCAAGCAATGCTTTAAAAATGAAGCAGGCACCAATATCTATCACATCATAACACTGCTCTCAAAAATCCCCCCCTGATTTCAAAAAGTTTATTTTGAAGTATGGAATAATACTGTTGGAGAGGTGAGACCTAATGTGAAATCCTCACAGAACTAATTTTCTTGTTGTTTGTGTTCAGGGCAGTATCATCAACGTACCTTTGAAGTGAGAAAGAAAAGAGTATTGATCAGAAAGCATGCATTTCAGAATTTTTGTAGAGTCAGACTCAGCTTCAAATTCTGAGTTTCTGAGCAAGAACTGCAAGCATAAACACTAGGGTTCTGGATTCAAAGGGATAAAAATACTTAGAAGCATACAGGGTGCACACAACTATCAGCAACATTTTAAAGCAAACATAGAGGGAAATTGCATGATCCCGAGAGAAGACAAAGCTGCTTTAGAGAGCTACTGCTTTACTACCATGTGTACATTCATGTACTTTGTTGTTCTCAAATTCAAAGTACAGACCTAATAAATAAACAGGCAGGCATATGCACATGTTCACACTTACTGAAAAGAGAATTGTTAGAATTGTAAATATTTTAAAAGGAAATTCTGCATAGAAATACAGTGTCTTAAAGTCCTTGGATGAAAACAATTTATACAGTGTTACACACTGAGGTAAAAAGAATGCATAGTTGTGCATAGCTATAGTTAATACTATTATTTATTTCTATTTTTATCACAACAGTCTCAGCTCCAACTTTTCTCAGAGGTTAAGCAAGCATTCGGGTCTTTAGAATAAGCTCTCAAAAGCTGCTTACTCTTTGTTGTATAGTGGTGTAGTAAATGGAAACAAACTGTATCTATTACAAGACTACTAAATTTAGGCAAACACAGAACACTTCCATAACATCCTTTTGTGCAGAGAAGAATATATTCATGATATGAATGACATTTAATGCTCAAAATAATGTAATTTATTTTTGCCTTAGTGTAATGGGCAACCAATCAAAGAAGAAAGAAACCAATAAAGGTAATCAAAATAGAGAGGATGGGTTAGCACATTACAAAATGCCAGATTATATTATGGCTTAACATTACGACTGACCTAGGTCATTACAAATTGTGAAGATCTAATATTCACTTGTATGCATAACATTTTAATCACATTTAATGACATAAATTTACCAAAGGATGCTTCTCATCCTACTTATATAAAGCATTCAATTATACAGACAGCAAATCCTTGGTAATATGGGAATAATTTTCACATATTTCACATATTCCAATCAAAAAAATATCATTACTTTTGAAGCTGGAGAGCTTTTATTTTCTGCATGTATCACCATAAAATGCATTATCCAGTATCAATATTCTGATACAAAATAATTATGGTCACTTTCTACTACTATCATCAAAATGTATTTCCACAATATATTAATCAGCCACTGCACATAAAAGGATATTGAACTAGCTTTGAATTGCTGAGTAAGAGCATTAAATAATCTGGTTTTAAGCATGTTAATTTTACGTGATTCTCCAACTATAAATTTATATCCTCATTCAAAAGCTATAAATTACTTAAATTACTTAAATAATCCTCTTTTTTTGCTCACTGAAATAACAATTGCTTTACTTAAATCATTCCATGTTGATGATAATAAGAATCACTTCTAGGCAAACAAGCACAAATTAAATTGTACTGTAAATGAAAAGAGATGAGTTTCTGAAATGTTAATCTATCCACAATTGAAAGTACTTATTTGGGGAACAGGTTGCCTAGCAAAAAGAATGTGTTTATGCTGTTGCTGTATTCTTCAAGCAAGTCCTTTTTCTCTCATAATTTTTGGACTTAAAATAAATCATAAAACAGGTGTATGGTGAGATGTAGTAAGACATCATATAGCTGAACTTTCAAAACACTTGAACAAAGTCCCTCACCAAAGCCTCACAAGCAAAATTAAGAATCATGACCCCGAAGTCTGTGTCCAAATTGAGGGTTCCTTCTCTTGTCCTTCAATTCTTGTATCACACAACAAGATATTGAGTTGGGTTTCTCAATTTTCCATAAGGTAATAATAATTTCAATTTGTATGGCTAACGGTCTCATCTAAGCAACTCTGGGCAGTTCACAACAGGTCAAAATTAAAACAATTTAAAAACCAATGTAAATGTCAACCCTGAAGCTGGCCTGACCAAGGCCATTTTGACCTCTTCAGTGTAGTATTGCTTACTATGGATGTATTACTTGGAACCCTGACAGTAAAAACAAATGGTGAAAAGAAGGCATCCACCAAGTTCAAATGTGCTTCCTACGTAATATGTTTCATAAAAAACAAATTGCTTTACCAAGAGTTAGTGGAATCATTGTCAAAGGAGCCAAATTGTCTGAAAAGCTTTATAATCTACGGTATTTATATTTATTTGGGAGTCCCTCTGGACTCCTGGTTCCTGCTCCAGCAATGGGGGGAAGGTGTGGCTAGAAAGGCCTGTGCCCAGCTTTGGCTACTACACCATAAGTGGATCGGTAAAGGTAACTCATATCTATATTACCACCTGATTAGACTTCAATGATTCTGCACCAGACTGCCTCACAAACTGTAACTGGGGTCTAGAATACAGTGGCCTGCACGCTTACTGGCATCTTATGCTGGCATCATCTATTCTCAATCCCGTGCATTTGTTTCTGGGAACAATTTTAAAATGCAGGCTTTGACCGAGAAAGTTATGTTTTTGGCTTGGCACCTGGGTCCCTGCAAGACTCCCTATTTCAATGAGAGTTGGGCATTATTTGTATTTTCTCACATTTCCCCAAAAAAATGGACGGAGTTGAAGTCAGAGGGTGCTGTTCCAAAGAGCACTGGAATAGTCTCCCACAATAGCCGCCTCCTTTTGTTTTCAGAAAGATGTCAAAAATAGCCTTCGACATTATCTGAGCTTCGTGGTTTGCTTACCAACATTACTTGCTGACATTTCATTTCCTGAGAAGGTAACATCATTAGTGCTTGTGGGATGATGAAACCGGCAAGCAAACAAGAGCTTGCTGAGTGTCACATGATAGTGAGATAGATGGCATATAAATTTAATAAATAAACAAATAAATAAATAAATCACCAAGCTTAGAGGGCATTAAGGACTCCACATTTCAACATTAGCTACATATATTCTTTCCATTAGAAACCAGCAGCACTGATAATGTTACCTAGTTGAGTAATGAAATGTCTGCAAGAAAAAAACCAAGCTCAAAAAGCACCAAGGACCCCACAGTTTGACCCTAAGCTACAAATATTCCATCAGTACATCATCATTTATCTATTTTATTATTAGGTATTTTATTTTGGCTACAATGTGCTTTCAGTTTGGGGTTTTATGATTCACGTTTTCACTTTTTAAACTATACAAATAATTATTTGCTAAACAAATAATTCCCTCAACACTGTCAAACTATTTACTAAATATGCACTACTATTAATCTTCTCATCATTCCCACCACCCATCTCCTTCCACTTATGACTGTATGACTATAACCTTGTTGCTGGTATCCTTACAATTTATATTGATATTGTTTCCTGATTGCTTATTTGTACCCTATGACTATAATTAAGTGTTGTACTTTATGATTCTTGATGAATGTATCTTTTCTTTTATGTACACTGAGAGCATATGCACCAAGACAGATTCCTTGTGTGTCCAATCACACTTGGCCAATAAAGTCTTCTATTCTATATCATGTAGATTGCCAAGGGTGGATGATTGCAGCAGGATATAAATGTAAATAAATGTAATCTGATAATGAACATACCGAAAATGTTGGAAAACTTTAGTTAATTACTGGTAGTATATGAATATTACAAATTCTTTTTTAAAAATTACACCATTTCTTTCAGGAATAGTTTTTCCTTATCTCCATACCTGGGGGCAAATATTTTTAGAAGATCTGTATATAAAGTGAATCTACTTACCTACTGTCTGTATCCAGGCCAACAAAATCTTTTTTTTCAAAAGGAACACACAGAAGTGGGATCTTATCTCCAGATTTATCGATAGCTCTGTCAAGACGTTTGGACTCCAATACAATGAAAAGAGACTCAATGAAGTCTTCTATTCTTTTTTCCACATTTTCACATTCATCATAACTAGGATAAAATGCCACATCTGTACGAGTTTGCTCTGCAATTTCTCCCTGAAGTCCAAAGACAAACAGCCGGGAATCATAAAGAGTTGAGCTATAAATTTCTTTTTGAAGGTGGAATTTTTCAAAAGTTTGAGGCCAGTCTTTTCCAGAGGAACAATCCGTGATGGTTATTAATCCCACAACTTTACGATGCGTCTGAAAATCTCCCCATTCGTTGTTTTCTGGTGGGTAATGATGTCTGTAGCGGATATAAAGAACTCGCTGAGAGTCACGGACATTGATCTGACTCACGGTTGAAATTCGCTTGTAGATCTTAAAAAAGCTCTCTTCGGGAACAATCCCATCTGGCTGGACCACAACTAGTAAAGTTTGATGATCTTCCGCACACTGCATGTAATCCGGAATGCTCATTTTGCAACTGACGTACGCTAATGCAAACATAATAAAACACAGGAGGAATAAACCTTAATAAAACATAGAAGGGAAAATGTGCATCATTTCTCTACTTAAGAAGTATTCATTTTACGAGCGATGACTTTCTGAAATATTAGACCTATTATATAAAATCATAAAAACCTTGAATTTTCTTAAGCAGTAGGCAGCATTCGATCCTTAGTCCCATTGGAACTAGGAGAAGAATAGGATGCAGCATGGTTTACTAAGCTCTTACTTTATTGTGTTATGTTGGCATTATTTACTGAAATACTTTTGCTCTTCAGCAGAAAGACTGCAAACTTGGTAAAAGATTTCTTGGGAGTTGAACATAAGGTTTAGTTACTTCAAAAAAAGATCCAGGTTTTTCTAAACAGGCCAATCTGAAAGGCACAATATAAGAATAGTGGATGGGAAAGAAAAATACAACAAAGTATCTTATGAGGATAAACTGAACTCAGTATCCTAAATCCAAAAATGGCTAATCTCATCACAGCCATGGTAGCCCAGTGGTTAGAATACAATATTGCAGGCTAACTCTGCCCAAAGCCTGGAGTTTGATCCTGACAGGACTCAAGGTTAACTCAAGGTTAACTTCCATCCTTCTGAGGCCGATAAAATGAGGATCCAGATTGTTGGGGGCATGATGCTGTCATTGTAAACTGCTCCGAGAAGGCTGTAAAGCACTGTGTATAACTCTAAGTGCTATTGCTATAACAACTTGACCATTTGTTAACATTAATCCAAGGATATTCTCCTATTTTCAGCAATTCCAGAACCAAAGGCTCCATAACAAGAACACTTTAAAGTGTAAATGAGACTAGGACCAAAAGACATTCCTGGATTATTAATAGAGGACATAGATCTGTACTGTGACTTTTTATCTCATACTTCTTAAAACTGATCCCATGAAATATATTGGATGGACATCACTCCATTATGATGTATGTAGGCAATTTAAAGAATACTGTACACCAAAGCTTGCAGCAAGCAAAGTGAGCTTTGGCTTACTGGAAATACTAAGAATTCTTTATCATTCAGATATTAACTTAATATCAATTACATGGCGAGATGGGTGGCAAACAAATACAATAAATAAATGTGGAGAAATCCAAGCTTTGGAAGTTTCTCTCTCTTGTGAGATAGGATTTGATAAGGCTGGAATATATCGTAAATATTTACGTTAGTAATATGCCATGTGATGGTACATTCAAGCTTCCATATGAATTTACACCAATAGCTGATAAAATGGATGAAATATAATACACTCTTTAAGCTGCGGAATATGGACTATTCAAAAAAATGATCAGCAGATGAAACAGCAAAACTGAAATGGCAATATATAAAGGGTAATCCACACAGCACTAAATCATGATAGGTGAGTTAAATGAATTGCCTGGTTTTGAAACAAATACCAAACAACTTCACTGACTGGATTCACATAACACAGACCCACAAATCAGCCAATCATATTTTAGTTAGCAGGGAAGATGAATCCATGCATGTTACTTCATGAGTACAGCCCTATCTACAAATAAATCAAAAAAATTTTAAAAATATTTTTTTAAAATAAAAACTCAAAACATAACTAAAATGAAGCATCTAGTAAACCTGTGATTTTTTTCATGACTTTTCTACATGCAATCTGTAGCAACAAGGAGCTACGCAGAAAAAGTATGTGGGTTTTCATGTGCGGGAATGATCAAATTAGGAAAGGAAAAATGAAGTTTTCTCTTCCTAATGTGCCAAGCAATGTATCTAAACATATATTTTCCCTTTTGTGCTCAACAAAAAAATGTCATTCCCTCTTCCTCCCATATCCTTCCCAGCATGCTAATAAAAACAATTTGCAGGCTAATATTCCTTATTAATATATGTATAGATGGACTAAATTTGTGTATATATAGGACTGCCACAAATTTTACTCCCCAACTGTAAAACTACCTGTAATCACACATTTATCAATTTCATTTGTGACCACGTTCTTTTAAACTCAGTTAAAAAATTAAAAACATCCTTGAGTACAGCTTAACTCTTGGTGAATTCACGGACATAAATATGTAGTTTTCTTGACAACAGAGAAGTGGTTTGCCACTGCCTTGTTCCAGATCCACAAGAATGGGCTATATTAAATATTAAATTTTATCTTATTGGTCATTAATAACAACAGAGAATTAGAAATAAGTATCTTACAGAAACAGGTACAGGAGGAAAAGTAGTAAAAAAATATTTTATTTTTTTTCAGAAATCCAAGTTTGCTGTTTTACTCTGATGAAGAATTTAGATAGAATAGAATGGAATGGAAATAGGAATAGGAATTCTTTATTGGCCAAGTGTGATTAGACACACAAGGAACTTGTCTCTAGTGCATAAGCTCTCAGTGTAATACAACAACGATAGATCATTATCATACCCTAGTCTCCTGCGTGAGCAGGGGGTTGGACTAGATGACCCCAAGGTCCCTTCCAACTCTGTTACTGTTACTTCATAGTCATAGTCATCAGATAGAAGTCTGATTTGATTTTGCTTTACATTGGGACTCGCAACATAAAAGGCACAAAGACAAAAATAATCCATAGATTGTTTTCCAAACTTCCAAATTGTCCTTGTGTCAGGTTTCGAGGTCGTTTCAAATAAATTGCATTTCAAACAAAGTCTTTGATGAAAAAGACTCCCATTTATTAAGCACGACATTCTACTCCGATTCCATTGCAGCCAACACTGACTTCCAGACCCAAAACCCTCCCTTTCCGTTCCCCACTCCCCTGCACTCATTGGCCATCTTCCAAGTCACTCTACCCCTAATCTACAGCTCCAGCTCAAAGGAATTTTCCCCCTCCCATCCCATCTCCTAGGGGATATTATCTCCAGGGAAAATAAGTAGGTGAAAAGTCAAACGTCCCTTTCCAGACGCCTCCGCTTCTCCTTCTTATGTCAGCATTAGAGTAAAATGCAGCTTGAAGTGCTGACACCTTGTTTTTAAACAAGTCATCACATACTGTTTGGTCACTTTGGACAATCTCATTATTGGTCATTAATGACAACACAAAATTAGAAACAGGTATCTTCCACAAAACAATAGAGGAAGAAAAGTGGTACAGGGCACGCTTATGAAACAGCCTGAAGGGTAAACATGAGACTCTGGGAAGGTGTAGCATGGACTTCATGAAAGAGTAGGTGGATGCTTTTCCTTCCCACTCAAAACCAGAAACACCGCCCTGCTTCAAATCCTACTTTTAGGTTCCCAAAATGAGTGTCCCAACCAACCTGTTCACCCACGGATGTGTACAGGTAGCCCTCGAATTACGACCACAATTGAACCCAAAATTTATGTTACTAAGTGAAACATTTGTTAATTGTATTTGCCCCATTTTACAACTTTTTTTTGCCACAGTTACTAAGTGAATCATTGCATTTGTTAAGTTACTAACACGGTTGTTAAGCGAATCTGGTTTCCCCGTTGACCGCTGGTCGGAAGGTGGCAAAAGCTGACCACAGGACACCTCAACCGTCATGGTTTAGGGCCGGGGTACTTACGGGACCGCCTTCTGCCACCAATAGCCTCCCACCAGCCAGTTCGCTCCCACAGAGAGGGCCTCCTCAGGGTGCTGTCGGCCAGACAATGCCGGCTGGCGACCCCCAGGAGGAGAGCCTTCTCTGTGGTGGCACCTACCCTTTGGAACAATCTACCCCCAGAGATACGAGTGATCTCCGACCTCCGGACTTTTCGTCGGGCCCTAAAAACTTACTTTTTTCAGTTAGCCGGTCTGTCTTGATTTTAGGGTTGGTTTTAAAATTTTGATACTGATTTTAAATTGACAAATTTTAAATTATGGGCCAAATTTATTAATTATTTTAAATCTATTTTTAATTGCAATGTTATGTATAAATGTTTTTATTTTGGCTGTTCACCGCCCTGAGTCCGAAAGGAGAAGGGCGGTATAGAAGTTTGAATAATAAATTAAAAACAAATAAATAAACATGAACCAGTTGCCAAGCATCTGAATTTCGATCATGTGACCCTAGGAAATACCGCCATGGAAGTCCCTTTTTTTTTTTTTTTTTTTGCAGAGCCATGGTAACTTTGCACGGTCGCTAAACGAACCGACGTAAGTCGAGGACTACCTGCATTTAAGAGAGATGCCAGGCACAAGGCAAAAAAAAAAGCACAAGTCAGGCACTGAGACACACCAGGACACAGCAATAAGCAAGCACCAAAGAAAAGAGCTTAAATTTGCAAAATCCATTAGTAAATGTATATTTTGGACTTCAGTCTCCATCATCTCTCTCTCTCTCTCTCTTGGCCTGGCCCTAAACATCTGGAAGAACGCCCCCCCCCCACAGGCTGCCTTAGCCCAGGCTGGGCAATCCCGTACATTAGGCCAGACTTCCCCGATCTGACTCCCTTGGAGTGTGTTTGGGCTACCACAAATCCCATCATCCCCAGAGGAACTTTGCACTGGGATCCTGGAAGGTGCCGGAAGGGGAGGGGGAGGAATTTCAGAGCTTCCCCGCCTCTCCCCCTCCCCCTCCCCCACCCAGCAAAGGAAAGAGGCGGCTCGGCTCCCCCCACCCCAGCGCCGTCTCCCTCTCCAGCTTCCCCGGCCCTCGCCAGCCCGCCCGCCCGCCCGGCCCGCTGAGGGGCTCCGGCGCCTCACCCACCACGGCCGGGGCGACGTAATAGCTCCGCCTCTGCCGAGCGCTTCAGACGGAGGGCGGGGCGGGCGGGCGGAGGCTCACTGCGCAGCCGCCAACTTTCGAGTTCCTCGGGGCGGGACGCGCATGCGCGCCCGGTTCCCACGCAAGGCTTTTGAACGGTCGCTATGGCAACGGCGGGCGGTTAGGGGCGACCGTTAAGATTCTAACGGTCGCTCTCCTGAGGGAGCGACTTTTTTCCCCCGCGGTTGTATGCTTTAGTTTAGTACAAGAGTTCGGAGATGGTTGTTTGTACGACTGTTCTGACCCCACTTTTTTCTTCAGAAATGCGAAATGTTGCACGCCTATCGGCCACAAGCTGCCCACCCCCTTCCACGGAGCTATCGTAAAGCTGAGGCGGGAAGACGGCTGGCAATTTTTCCTCCAGCCGCCTCATAGTTGCATTCGTTCTAACCCAAAGGTGTTTCCCCCCCCCCCAAGAGGCGACTGGACTTTCTGGTTTTTCTTTGAAGACGTTTCGAAGAAGCTTCTCCAGCTCTGAAGAAGCTGAGGAAGCTTCTTGGATGAGAAGCGAAACGTCTTCAAAGAAAAACCAGAAAGTCCAGTTGCCTCTTAGGGAAAAAAAAAACACCTTTGGGATAACCAGGACCTGGATGACGGAGAATCTCCACAGACATTCGTTTTAACCTTAGTTTGGCTTTTCTTTAGTTTGGCGGGCATTGGTTGGAGGCCATTGCCCTGGATTAAGCCACAAAAATGGGTTATTAAACGAGGCGCGCCAGGGCAAAGCTGCCTCTCCGCCTCCGCCGCTCTTGGAGCGAACTGCCTTCTGGGATGCGTAGTCAACCCTCTCAGAGCGCTCCGATTGGTTCCCGTGAAAGCCAACCAACGTTCTAGCCCTGCTAAACACTCGCAATGCGCTTCCAAGGATTCGTAGTTCTTTCTATCCCTGTGACAGCGGTTCAGCGGCAGGTAGAAACTACAAATCCCGAAAGGCCAGGCGGGCGCTTCCGGCCGTCAAAAAAAAAAAAAGAACCCAAAGGCGGAAGTATTTCCCTGATCTGAGGTAAACCAAGATGGCGTCGCGATGGAGCGGAGCTTCTGGCGGGGGCGAGAATCGGTTGGTGTCGCTGCCTTTGTCGCGGATCCGGGTGATAATGAAGAGTTCGCCCGAAGTCTCGAGCATCAACCCGGATGCGATTTTCCTCACCGCCAAGGCCACGGTAGGGCCTGCGGGGGATGCCTTGGGGAAGCGAAGACGGTCCAGATGTGGCGGCTTTGGGGGAGGGGGAGATTCCGGGCCGCTGCACATCTGGAGGGCAGCGTTGCTCAAACTTTGAGGCGTTTGAGGCCTTAAGACAAGAAGCAATGGATGGGAACTAAATCAGGGAGGGATCCAAGCTAGAATTAAGGAGAAATTTCCTGACCGCGGGAACAGAGTTAGGGACCTTGTAGGTCATCTAGTCCAACCCACCCACCCCTCCCGCTCAAGCAGGAGACCCTACACCATTTCTGACAGATGGCAGTCCAATCTTTTCTTGAAAGTGATGAAGCTCCCACAATTTCCGAAGGCCGCTTCTGGTTCCAATTAACAATTAACCAGTGGAACGCCTGGCCACCAGAAGTTGCGGGCCCTCCCATCACTGGAGGTTTTCAAGAAGAGACTGGAGAGTCACTTGTCTGAAAGGCAACGAAATTTCGTTTTAATGTATGCCGGTTAGTGTACATTCAAATGGACGATTCTAAGTTCTTAATGGTATAGGGCAGGGGTGGGCAAATGTGGCCCTTTTACAACCTGTAGACTTCAACTCCCAGAATTCCTGAGCCAGCTTGGCTGTCTCAGGAATTCTGGGAGTTGAAGTCCACAGGTTGTAAAAGGGCCACATTTGCCCACCCCTGGTATAGGGTTTCCTGTTTGAGCAAGGGGTTGGACTAGATGACCTCCAAGATCCCTTCCAGCTCAAATTCTGTTTTCTGTTTGTTTGTTTTTTTGCCTATGTGGACTGCAACCAGAATGGGATAATTTGTCGTGGCCAATTGTGGAACAATTCAATTATTTAAAATAATTTTAATTTTGGTCATTCACATTTTGTGTCGTTCTCTCCTTTTGCATCTTTTGTTTAATGATTCTATTCCACCGTTTCCTCGGTATTAGTGTAACTCTTGTTTCAAACGTTGTGGCAAGTTTTCGTAGACCTGACTGTAACTCCCAGAATTCCCCACTCAGCAGTAATTAACCAATGATCATGTAATCTCTGATGTGTTTGAGCTGTAAGCATCATCTTTTCCTTTCAGGAGCTGTTTGTTCAGTATTTAGCTACTTACGCTTACAAGCATGGCCAGGGCAACGAGCACAAAACCCTGACATATACCCACCTGTCACAAGCAGTACAGAACTCTGACACTTTCCAGTTCCTTGCAGGTCAGTCTTTACTTTGCTAATATCATAACTGATGTGAAATAATCCCTAAAATAGGGAATGGGGAATGGGGAATTTTTCCATGTCAGTCTTTAAAAACTCTTAAGGCTTTGGGGTTATATTTTTATTAATGGGAATTGAGCAGAAAGAATCCCAACCCTTCCTCATTTTAAAAAGAAAAACAGCAACCTATTTTAGGGGATAAAATATTCCTTATTGTTAAAACTATTGAGAATTGGAAATAGTTAAAAATGTCTGGTAGATCCTAAAAATAAATTAATGGTATGTTAGGATCTATTGGCAATTTCATCTCTCCTATGTCATAATTGTGTACAATTTTTTAATCTAGCTGTAACAAAAATAAAATAACGAAAAATATCTCTTACAAACCTAGTCTGTCCTAGATGGATATGCTAAAAATTGGGATATCCAAATTGTGTCAGTATCACAACATTCTCAGAAAATCGTTTTGTAATTTGTTTTCATTTATCAAATGTATATGCCACCCATCTCACCCTGCAAACTCTAGAATTATTTCCACAGTTCAGTGGAAACCCTTGCAGTAGATGGGATAGAGTGCAAATTACTTTTGTAGCGATTGGAAACATTTAATAAATTAATGAAAATAATATTTTCTTTTCCAGATATTGTGCCAAAGAAAATCTTGGCAAGCAAATACCTGAAAATGCTTGAAAAAGAAAAAGAAGGAAAAGAGATAAAGGAGGAGGAAGAAGAGGAAGCGGAGGAAAGTGAGTCTGAAGAAGGATCTTGACAGTACAGCTTGATTTATGGCCTTGTATGTGAACACTCTTTAATGACTTATGATCAACTGAATTCTTACATCCTTGAACCAGTGTCAACTTTCAGAGTTAGAATTGACAACTTGTGTACAATTACCCTGCAAAGACTTCCAAGTGGGACTGAACATATTTGCAGATCTTTTTCATCTTCATCTTATAAACATAATGTGGATGATTGCTTGTAATATATCAAATGTCCGTGTTAACCAAATACTGTATTTTCAATACAGAATCATCTTCATTGCTCACATTGGGCAAATCTAAAAATGGGTAAATTCCTTTTATATGCCAATATTGAAGTTTTCTTTCCTTTCAATGTAAGTTGGTAAAAAAGGGTTCAGATTTCTTAAAAGCAAATTGTTTATATGACTAGTTGTATATAAGCTACACTAGGATTTGTTGCCGTTCAAATTATCCATGTTGCAAACAAAAAAAATATTTTCAATGTCCTCGGTTCCTATGTACAGTAATGTTACACCGATGTAAATAAATTTGGGAGAAAAAAATCAGTGTGGATCCTTGTATGGTTTGAGATGACATTTACATAGCACACGAGTAAAAGAACACAATTTTTTTTCTATCAAAACACTTTTAACATTTCTTTCTCCTATCAAACATATCAAGCGAGGCTTTGGTCAATTTGTGTTTATATGTGGGTGGATAGAGAAAAGACTGAGAATTTCAACCAAATCAGTGCCATTTCTGGGGTAGGCATTCAGCAGTGAGAAGATAAAATTAACCCCCTTTCTTTAGAATGGGAAAATGATAGAAAAATACAATACATTCAAGTTAAAAGATGTGCTACCAGTGCCCAGCTCTTTTTGAAAAGGGGCTGGATAGATTTATGGAGCGGTTTTTAGAGGGGAAAACTCTTAGCAGCACAACACCCCCCCCAAAAAATCTTGTAACTTAAAATCAGTGGGTATTTTTCCCACCTAAATTTATGTGGCTCACAGCACACTTCCAGTGGGTTCAAGAACTACAGTTCTGAAGTAAGGTAGGCAGCCATGAGAAAAAGGGACCACCCTTAGGCTGCGTTTCCACCTGGTAAATGATAAAGTGGTTTACCCGGCTGGGCTGGCATAATACAACCTAAACTGATTCATTCAATAAAACCTGGATTAAGCAAACCGCGAGTTGTATGAACAGTTCTTCTGAATTAAGTTCTTGAGATTGCAAACTTATTACCTCTTATCTTGTAAACAAAACATTTATTGCCAAAGAGAAGATTCCATGGCAACATCTTATAATCGGACCATATGGGTAGTCCTCAGCTTACAACCACAATTGGGACCAGAATTTCCGTTGCTAAGCATGGCAGCTGCTACGTGAATTGCGCCCAATGTTACGAACTTTTTTTACCACGGTTAAGTGAATCACTTAAGTTGTTAAATGAATTGTGGTTATCAAGCAAATCCGGCTTGCCTCATTTGTCAAAAGCCAAGTGTGAGGGTCACAAGTTGTGATCGTATGACACTGGAATGCCGCAACTGTTGTAAATACATGCAGGTTGCCCAAGCACCCAAATATTGATGCTGCAGTGGTTGTAAGTGTGAGGACCAGTTGTAAGTCACTTTTCAGTGCCATTGTAAGTTTG